TTCCCCCTCTTGCACCCCCTCCCCCTCTTCCACTTCCTCCAAAACAATATGAGAAAACTGAAATCCCTACTTCCTCTCTCACTTTATCTGCTCCTTCACTTATATCTATTTCTTTTTCTAATCCGTCTTGCAAATCACTTACATGACTACTCAAAACATGGCCGGTAGGAGGCTGTACTGATGATTTCCACTCCTACCCGCACGCATAGTTCGGTCTGTGTATACAGCTAAGGAATGAAACACAGACTGCGCCACAAAATATCTTCATACATTTGACATTCAAGTGGAATCCTTCTATTCCTCTATTTTCTATGGAGCAGTAATTTTTTTCCAAACATTTTTCTTGGCCCAGGAAAACTTGGCATACCTGTTGCAAGTTGTCCATTTTCACTTGCATTATCATCCATATCCATTTCTTTGACGTTGAACGCATTTACATTGCGGCTATTTTCACGTTCATGACGAGCCCGTGTTTCCTCCACTTCACGTTGCAGTCGGTTTGTTTCTTCGGTTTTCGATTCAACCTGTTCGCGCATTTCGGCCACTTGCATCTCTCGTTTTCGCACCTCAATCACCAGGCGTTCACGCTCCTCCTCACTCATCACGCGCTCTGATTTCAGCTGCTCATTCAGCATACGCAGTTCCTCTTCCTTTGCTTCCAGTTGCTCCTTGGCCAGCTGAAAATCAACAAATTTCAACCAGACTTCAAAAAGTGTCAAAACTGTTGTTCGTTAATTGCGCCGTATAATTTTTTTTTTTTTTAAAGAAACCTTAACTTTCCGCTCAGCTCATTATTTCATGTTACAAACACACACACACACACCCACCCACCCACACACACACACATCCACATCCACACCCACACACACATGCACACACCCCCACACCCACACACACCCCCACACCTACACACGTGCACGCACGAACACGTACACATATATTTCTTTCAGCTATCCTTTAAAATTTATGGTCTGAGAGCACTTAACAAGCAAAATTTTGATAGCAGTCTTTCGGATACGACTTTCTAAAAATTCACTGGACGCAAACAGACCTGTAGCTCATGAAGTTGCTGTTCAAGGCGTCTTATTGTATCTTGTGCGTATGAGAGTTCACGCTGTGCCCGTTCCATTTCTTCTCGCATTCTTTCCATCCTTTCTTCGTATTCCCGTTGTTTTTGCTCAGCTGCTTCACGTGCACTCATTTCCTGAAATATTTAAAAATGGAGCTTTAAAACAGCAACTTCTATGAAATTCCGAACTATCAGATGATTCTGTAAATCTCCATATCGCTAATGTTTTGAATCAAACCTTAGCAAAACACCAGGGATAAGTAAAACCTAATCAAATCCCCATGCGTAACTGAATGCGGCAAGCACAAAACAGAACAAAATAGAGAAACTGCCAGATGTATCGACCAATCATGAGAAAACAACGGCGAGAAGGTAGCCAAGTAAAATACACAAATGGTGAACTTTCAATAAACTTTTACTAGCTGCAATAACATAACTACTTAAATTAACTTGAAATTCATACTAATTACCAAAATCGTCGTACTGACGAGGTCCAGTTGTGGTAATGGTAAGAAATGCATACGACTTAATGGACCGGCATATTTCTTACCATCATATTTTACAATACATTTCAAGTTTTATTAATTTCCTAATACCACTAGCTTTCTTCTTCCGACATTAAAATGCTTTCTATTTTAGTTACATTAGAACAAAAACACGTCCACATTTCTACAAACTTCAACTCTCGTTTCCAGTAAGTACTATCGTAAATTTTAACCGAGACACAGTAGCAGAGTAAGAATATTTTTTT